ACGTTTTGACCGATTGATGCAGGAGCAACTAGCCGACGATCGTCGAATGGGAGCGGCATCGGTGGTGGTGGTACCGGGGGCTGAAAGAAAAATCCATCAAAAAACGGTCAAAGGAGCGGGTTCATAGTATTTACAGCACTGCTTAGAAGGTACAGACAATTCTCATATTTACTTTGCTGTCAAAGTTATTGCGAAGCAGCACATTTCAAACACAATGCCTTTCTGCTCCCAATCTACCAATGGCCAATTTATCGTAACACAAGCGAAGACAGCTCCTTCAGGTTACCGTATCCTTACGAGCGATTTTTTTGATTAGTTGCTGCTTATTTATTTGTTTGATACCTTTTCATTGATTGTATTCAATTCTACTCTTCAAAAGATAAGTGCCTTACGTTTGAATCCTGAAATCCCTATCGTAGCTTAGGTATTGCGGAATACAAAATATTACACCGTAGTTTTTCGCTCTCCTTGGAAAGAACAAACAAGGTACGCCCCCTTACAGTAATCCCTTCCTTCAAGTACAAGAAAATGATAAATGTAGGAAGGATCAACCAAATACTATGGATAGGAGCGTGGAGTTGGATCGCACATAACCTTGGGTTTCTTACGATTCTTGCCCATCAAGCTTTCAAACTTCAAGTAGGAACCTTCATCCAGCTCATTTTGGACTTCCGCACGTAAAATGAATTATTTTTTATAAGAAAGGTCCTCAGGGAACCGAAATTTCGTTAGGAACCTTGCTCCCATTTTGGAATGCGCCCCTGCATCTGACCTCAGTCAGAATCTTAGTAGCGATTTGAATGCGTAGGTGCCCATACAATAAGTTGCGGTTGCCAGCCGATGACAAATTCAAGAGTTTTTATCATTCCAGACGAGTCTGGTACCAATTAACTGAGCGCATAGGGATGGGGAGAACGTTCGACGTGGGTAAATATCTATTCGGGATCCAATCCCCTTGCCACCAGGAGTGTCTCAAATTGAAGAATTTAGAGGAAATTTGTACCGTAATTGTACCAGTCCAGTTAATTAGTAGTTCCCATTCAGAATTTCAGTGGTTTCAACTGTTTAGCGACTCGTTTTTAGTATTAAGTAAATGTTAAAGTGGCCGTTACCTGTTGATAAGGTGGCATTTGTGATGGCAGACCAAATGGGAAGCTTCCAAAACAATGTGCTTGCGTTTGCATCGAACACATAACACTTGGTTGATATGAGTACGTTGTTGGAGCAAAAGCGGCAGGATTCTGAATAAAAGAACATCACCATCAAAATAATTTCATTATCTTAGGAAGATTAACAGTCCAAGCCACAGACCAAATGGGAATCCAGATTTATAGAGCACAAAACAGTCGGTTCAATATCATGCGACCGATAAGGGCATCGCTGATTTTGAGTTAAAGAGAAGACAAGCCTGCCGCAACGCGACTGCACGCCCAGTATGCAGTAGCTACGGCCACGCTGGGGCATAGATGGTTTTAAAGATACTAACCATGTATTCCGGTTCAGATTGAGGCTGACTAAAGTATGGTGGAGCGGAGGCACCTAGTGAGGCCTCCGAACTGATCATCTGGAATGAAGATGGTATTGATCGAATATGAACGAAGAATCAATCGCATTCAAATTAAGAACCGGAGGAAGAATTCGATAGCAACTGAAGAAAAAGAGCAGCTAAATTCATTCTAACACTCCCGAATACTCCATTCATAACATTCAAAGAATGGGATAAGTGCAAATTATGGGAACCAAAATCAAGATGGAATATCTAGACAGAGAAATCATGCAGAAAAATGATAATTAGAACATTATGCCATGCATTTAAAGGACATCTGAGATCGAGTGGGTGAAAGCCACCAAAAAGAAAGAAAATTTGAAAACGTACATAGGTGATACGGTAGCAGTCAAGGTTGAGGTACTGTCGGACAACGTTTTGTGGGAAAAACATGAAATTGCCTCGCGAAAGATTTGAGATTTTAAGTGGAGATTACGGTATTTGCAGCGGAGTCCTGCCACTTATGGACGAATCCCGGGCGGAATCACCGCCACCAGTATGAGACTTCGAGAAGGATTCCAGCACTGGCCATGCTCGAGACTTTAAAAAAAGTTCCGGCTTGAAAAATATTAGAACCACGTCTTATCTTCCCCGCAGGTCAGCTTTCAGAAAACGGACCGGCAAAAGCAAAAGATTTTATGGGTCCGTTTTGTTTGTTGAACAACAGGCCACACTGCTCAATGTACCATGAAGTATTACCTAACACTAAAAGTAAGTCCATGTGGAAGGAACACTGAGACAAACCCAGCTGGAGGTTGGGATAAATATAGCAACTACTAACGTGACCTCGTGGACCGGAACTCGTCCATCGTGACTTTTTAAACGTAGTTCTTGCGGATGCATTTCCGGTGTCAAAACACCACTCTGGATCACCGTAATACTCCAGGTACGTACTCACTCGGCCAAGAAGTGTTCCTAATGATGAATGATGGGATGTGAGTTATGATATATGAAGAATCTAGGTCGTGGAGGAACGTCTATTAGGTTCATCACACAAGTAATGACGTCTGTGGACGGAGTCTGAATCCTGCATCAACAGCCAGTGAAAATAAAAAAAAAGCAATTTCATGAATTGGGCCGATGCTAACTAATTTAACTAGTTCGGTTCGCCTCCTTTCAGACGAATCACTTCGTTTCCCATCTACGGCCTGAAGTTCATCAGTGAATCGAGGAAGGCGAAGCCAGAGTTCTGAAGTACCAGACAGGTATGATACCTACTATTTGAGGTAACAAAACGTAATTTGACATAGGCGACGACTTTAGCGGTGAGGCCTAGGAATAGACTAAAAGAATCGTAAAAGCAAAATAGATTAGTGGACAGTTGCGGAGCTACAGATGTCGTTGCAAAAAGGAGGTATAAAATCGGATTACAGAGGACTCAATTGTGTAACTACAGTGAAAATGCGACCGGCTCTGATGGGAGGAATTTCAGGACTTTATGACACACCAGGTAAACTCCCCTTATGAACTACTTCTAGTAGTTACATTCTGCATGTATAAATCTACAACACACTATACTGGTGTTGTCAAGGAAGTTCAAAAGAAATTCGAAACAGCTAAAGGAAATGGGCTCGCTGAGCCTAATCGAAAAGAGGAAGACAAACTGGAGAAGGGACTTTCTGAAACAAATTCCACGTCATTGAGCTATGGTCGCTTCGAAACTTTTTTAGATGGGTCCGATAATAGCAAGGTTCGACAGATCTAGGAGGTCCAAAGTCGAAGAAAGCTGTGGAACGTGAGGGAGAGATCACGGTCTTGAAGAAAGGGAAAGTTGTCCAAAAATCAAAATGCAAAGCGGTGTTGCCCATGAAGTCATTTTCGAAGGCCCTGGTTCTCTGAAGGCGTCGTTCTATTCAAACAAGGAGCGTCTTCAATCATGCACCATACTTTTAATCCTAACCCTGTCCGACATAGCTCGCAGCCCTCTCCCAGCTACCCCTTAAGTTCCGGGTCATTCCCTGGCCCGATTCTATTTTACTTTTCTTTTTACCTACTTAACTGTCAGTACAGTTCGATAGTGTTTTGTCTTAAATTTCGCAACATTCTTCAGTAAGTCATCGTTGAGGAATGTTCCTCATGGGTCTACACTTGATAGTTGTCTTAGAGCCTGGAACTGAAGGGTACCTCAAGACAGAATCCAAGTGCCGTGAACCAAAGAAAGCTCCGAAAAGCGGAATTTTGAATGGAACTTCTGAAATAAGTGAAAACAAGGGCAGAGAATGAAAACTTCGATCGATAGCAGTGTATCAGTAGATAAACACTAGAGAGTGATGCGTGTGTGGCTGCTGGCGATAAGACGGAGGAGGTCGATTACAGAACAGAGTACTGTTGAACTGAGTTGAGTCAAAGTACACTGAGGAAGTGGTTTTTATAACGTTTAAAAGGGCAACGTGATTTGCAGTGGAACACTCAGGATGCAGAGATTGTACTGCTACAACCTCAATCACAGGGGTACGACATTCCGTACTTCCGAGTTGCAGAACATCTTTACCTAGCCAGGGGGCATTGCCAGAAGCCTGAAACCACATCCTTGTTGTTTGATCCTGGCGCCACCCAGTACCGAACTCTGGGAAATCAGCGGTTTCGTTTATTCAGCTTATCTCTGTTTTGGTCAGAAAAACATGCTGTAAGCAGTTTTTCATGCCAAAAACCTACCTCGAAAGGGATTAATCTGGGGGATCATTTTTAAGGTATACGCATCACCACGCTTCTAGGCACTCGCCTACGAAGTCTAAAACTTCATGAATGGTGATAGAAGAGAATTAATGTAAAACCCTTCACGGTGAGGGCTTTTAGCTAAATGTTGAGAGGGAACATTTTCAATTTCATTGGGATCGATTATCGATTACACCGCATTCATCTTAGATTGTGTTAGCATAGTCATGTCTACCATACGAGCCTGGTAAATGGTTGTATAGGCCGCATTCAACCGTTACTACGACCTTGAAAGGAACTTGAATGCGTGGTTTATCCCGAAACGTTTTTTATCTACGCCGGAACTTAACCCTCCATTCTTCTACCTTTAACGACTCTCCAATGATTGACAATATAAGGGTGCCCTATGGATCGTAAGGGACAGTGAAAGGTGTTGCTTCGATGAATGGGAGTAAGCCCACGTACTTTTGAGACACTACATTGCAAATGGGTCGTGGTTTATTAAAGTACGGTAGCCCCATGCGTCGGATCGGGCAGTTGGCGAAACGAAGGTTTGCCCCGAGAACTGATACGTCCCATTACTCAAAACGGAGTTCCTAGGAGTATGAGAGCAGTAAGGGAATGAGGAAAAAAATTGAGTGGAACGGTTTGGTGATGGTTTAGTCAACAGTATCCAATCTCTCAACCAAATCCTTCAGATCTTCGACAAGATAGGAAAGCTGGGACTTGTAGGTCCTGGAAATTTCAATTTAGCGCAAAAGATGGGATCTAAACTGACCCAGCAGTGGAGCAAAGCTAAACATTTGCAGCAGGAGATAACCCAAATGGAACGACATTGTCGGGGAGGGGGAGAGGGGGGGGGGCAATCCTGCCGACTCACGGTGACACCTAAGTGGGCTGTAAATGTTCCGCTGAACTCTTACAATCCACTTTCCAGCAGAACCGCTTTCTACGCTTTTCTGCCATTCTTTTACTACCCCCTCTCAGGAAGGTATGCGGGGGAGGATTAGTGTAATTTAGGCGAGTAAGCACTCACCCTTAGGTATAATTAAGAACTCACCATAACAGAAATCTAGGCGATATGATCTGAGAGCGGTGGCAGGGCCGAAGGCGGTGACAGTGCGAAATGTTCAAGAGGATGTTGGTGATTGCGGCCAGTGAATCAGTTGCAAACACAAAACAACATAATAAAATCGGCAGAAAATATATACGAATTCCATTGAATGATGGCATTTCATGAAAATGTCATGCTTCCATGAAAATACACACAATAGGGAACATCAAAAGAAAACATTTCAGAGATGGAAATAAACTGAGAGCGATGAGGTCATTGGTATGTTAGGAAGGCACTGTATACCTTTTGCCATACTTTTTACCCTTTGAGTTTTGAGTATATGGAGGTTTCGTGAGTGAACTTAGCTAGAAGTTTGCTTCTGGCGGGTTTATACTACGCGAAGTGGACACCGCATCCGTACACCTCAAAAGCCGCTGGTGCTCGCGCCAGAGGCCACAGGATCAAAACACATCAAAGTAGTCCATAACTGCATTGCATGGGTAGTTCGAAGTACCGAACATTAGTAAAACATCCACTCCGCTTGAGGGAGTTGGTAGTGGCTCCAGAAGAAAAATTGCCTCAAAGGTATAAGATCATCTGTAATGAGGAAGTTCGTTACCCATTTCCTGTGCCTTTCTTATGAAGTTGGAAGGTCCGGCTTCAACTCCCACAAAAACTTATTTTTGAAAGTCTAAAAAGTCCAATCTAAAGAGTTTAGCTCTATGCTCTTCTGAGCCTGACGGATGTAGGGCAGACCAAGTAGCCTCTCCGGAGAAAAATGCAGATAATCCATTTCGAAGGACGAAGTGTGGAGGATAAATGGTGGTGATAGTGTACCAGTTGGCATACTATCACCTGCCAACCGAATTTCGGATTAGCTTCCTCCCACGTCAACCAAACCTTCCATTTGTTCAAAGGCGGCTATTTGGTACCAGACTAGTATGGAAGGACAAACCGAGTTGTACATCAGCTGGCCAGCGCAATTTATCGAATACGTCACTACGATTTTGAATGGAAGTCGAATGCGGGGCGCATCCCTCAGACGAGATTGATCCTAGCTAAAAGTTCCTATCATCATCTTTGAATAAGAGATTTAAAAAAAAACAAGCTTCAGCTCTGAAAAGAGGGGTTTAGAGGGTGAACGTTACCGATGTGACTCGTGAAATCGCCGTCTGATTATAATTGCGAATGGAATGCGGACCCGGTTGCCACTGTGCCAGCAAACCGTCAGTAATCAGCCTTTCGTCCAGGAAATCGAATTTTTCCCATGGAATTCACTAATCTCCTACTCTTGTTGCAATTTGAGCTG